ATCTGGAGGAAAAAAAAAAAAAAGATTGTGTATATTTGGTGAAGATTAATATTGAAACACTAATTAACTCTTTAAAATTAAGGTTCTTATATATGAGAATTTTGATTTATTGTCTATGTCTTGAACAATGAAGAACAAGTAATATGCTATATTAGGAAGAGGTATGCACACACATTTTGTGATGCTGCTGTTTTTTCTATGGCCCTTTCTTTTGTTTGTTATTTTTTCAGTAATTATTGAAATATAATAATATATATATTTGCATTATTGGAAGTATCAAATGGGAATGTATGTAATGTTGTTATTGAACAAGGGACAATTGACTATTACATGTTTTGTACATGTAATATATTATCAGTATACAACATATGTCCCCAATACATTTCAAATATTATGTTATATTTATGTGAAGTAGGATTATATATATTATATGATGAAATGTGAATTGTATCAAAAATCTCGAGATTAGATTCTTGGTTAGTGCAGTTTTGAAATTTGTAGATGCAATGGAATCAAATATCGAACGAACTGTGTGTTTCACTATTGGGAGTATTGTTTTAGGTTTATATAGTATTGTGACTAAATGATGGTGCAATTCCAAACATTTTCAACTTTAGATTAGTTACAAAATTATGTCTTTTCAATAAATTACACACCTTCCTATTGATGTATCGTACGTTAAAATATTATTAATCAATGTACAGGCTCTTACTTTATAAATACATATTTTATTTAGAAATTATTTAGAAAAAGTTCTTGTTCTAGTATTTTGTGTTGAATGTGGTTATTTTATGGATGGATGTGAAATTGATGAATTAAGTCACATTATTTATTTATTTACAAGCATAAGCCATACTATTTTATGAGGCAAAATTGTTATAAAGAAAACATGTGACTAAATAGAAAAATGAAATGTGATTTAAAGTTGGATCTATCATCCATTGTGCTTTGTGCACACTTACTAAAAGAAAAAGGTTTGAAAATAAAGTAGAAATGTGGTATTTTTATAGAAAAATGAGGAAGATGAGTTGTGAATTGTCACAATCGTGGGTGTCCTTTGAATCAGTTCTCTATGGCCAAAAAAGCAATAAGACAGGCATTGGCTATTATGGTGAGAGCGACTTAACCTAACCCTACTAAAGTTTTTTTAGAGCCAAACTCCAAATATCCCAATCCCATCTACACAAATTTATGCTTATCTAGGCACGTGATGTTTATCTTCATTATTCTTACATGAAACAATATGTATTATTAAAATGTACATGTTCACTAATCACATGTTAATATCCTTTATGTTAATTATCCCTATATAATTGCATGGTTAAACTAATATTAATTATTTAACGCGGATATATGTAGTTAGAGATTGATTACCAAACCCCATGTTGATGTATTGTAGTTGGAGTACATTATTATTATTATTATTATTATTATTATTATTATTATTATTATTATTATTAGGCACGTCACATATGTGGAAATTTCGTCATTCGGGCCGTCATCATTGATTATTTGAATTATTTGGGTACCTTCTATTTTTGTACATGTTGGATTTAAGTATTTGTGGGTACTGGGATTTATGGATTACTTATAATCGTGCCGTACAAGATTAAGATTGAAGGTTCAAGGAAAAAAATGATGTCATTTGCATATTTAAATAATATATATTTTTTTTTTTCCTAACAAGTGGTTCTCTTTTTTGACTGAACAAAGCCAATCGGAATCCATGTACATTCACACTGACAACCACCAAAGTTCATCCAAATAAGAAAAAACAAAATAAAGATTTATTATTATTATTATTATTATTATTATTATTATTATTATTATTATTATTATTAGGGTTATTATTTTTCTTGTTGCATTTGCTGGTCAGTGGCCCCGTTAGGTGGTCAGCTGCTTTCACATTACATACAATTTTACAAAAAAATAGGTCTCAGGTCATTACACGAAAAGGGATTTATATTTAGAAAAATATCAGTTTTTGTTTAAGCGTCTTTAGTGATGGTATAAGTATAAGATGAAATCAAAAATTCATGTGATATTCTTTGCGTTAAAATATTATCAACAATTTAGATTTTGACAAACACATGTGATACATTAAGTCAATTAGTAAAACGATTAACTACCACAACTTCATTTGCTTTCATATTAGTAAGTACGTAAATAATGATCATACCTATTTTCAGTGTATGTGAACAATTTTATATCATTTTTATTAATTTTTTTAATGTTTTGTCCGTGTCACAAAAGAATTCAATATAGATTTAGATATTTCCAATTTTTCACACTTATATATGGGACCAATTTTTTAAAGCCTGCATACTTTCATAAAATAAATGTCATTTTCAATTGAATTATGGTTCTGTACAAATAGTACAGTCCTAAAAACTAAAAATCACAAAATAATGCATTTTATAAGATGAGATAAGAGAGGAAGAGTTTGATTCCTTCGAATGGATGACAGTATTTGTTCAGACCCAAATTTCTCATTAGATTCTTTCCTTTGCATAGGATCCACGAAACTCTGCAAAAACCCAGATTTGTACGTACATCTCTTATTTATAGCAAACACGTTGATAAAATCAAAATTTTAGATTTACAGCTACATTTATGTAATAAATTTGCAAGTACTGTATATGATATGGTTGAAAAAGGAAAGTGTACTCACTTAACAATTAATAAAAAAACAATCACTCTGTTTATTTATAGCATCATTCTTAAAAAACACATTAATTCATCTTGCCTAATATTGTTGTTCATCGAACATAATTAAATCATATATGTAAATATNTTTCCAAAATGTAATTTTTTTCCTCTATATCTTATACTTTAATTATAATATTTCCTTACTTTAAGATATAGTATGAGTAATCGAAAAATAATTCGTTTACATCAAATAATTGAAAAAAAAAAACTAAAACAATAATTATTAAATAATTGAAAACAAACTCAATGAAGGTACAATAGTAGAAATATTGGATTTTTTATATATGAAAAAAGTATGGTGTTTTTGGGCTTTCTTAATTTGGAATTTATTCTGACATTTGCAAACTTTTTTTGTGCTTCTTTTTACTTACTTACTTATTTATTTATTTATTTATTTATTTATTTATTTATTTATTTATTTCGTGCTTCAATCGGGACCAAATCCTCATAAGATTTCTTGATCAAATTATGGCCATGGAAATTATGGCCATGGGGATGGGGCTCGTCTTTTATTCTTTTTTCACTTATCTTTTTACTAGTGTTGATATCCGTGTGATGCACGGGTCTGCAATACAAAAAATATCTTTTATATATATATTATAAAATTATTTCAGATAATATGAAATTACATTCTCCACAGTATTCTATTCCGTAACAATATGACATTTATTTATTTACTATGGTTAATTACTATATTTATATTTATTTTGTAGTTTTTTACTATTTAATATATAAATTTTATTAATTATAAGTTCATAAAATATTATAAATGTATAAGATCATATGATATTTGCATACAAATTACATGTATGCACTTATAAAATTGTCTTTTTTCATAGTCGTATAATTTTTTTACTAACAACTCATAATTTGCTTATTGTTTGATAACTGGCCAACGTTTAACCTATAATATTTATTTTCCGCAATAAATTATTAAGTCATTAAATTTTAAAAATTTTGATGAAATAAATTTTAATTTTTAGTAACTTTAATCTTTATGCAACACACAAATTTTTTATGCTTAAATATTTTTTTTTTTTTTGACCGGAACGATAGAGGATCTATTATAAATCAAAACGCACAAAAGTGCGACGAAAATACAACGCTCCCAACGGGAGAAGGACAAGCAACCAAAAACTGAAAAAAAAAAAATGGGAGGACAGGTCAGACGACCGCCTAGAATTCCGACTCTAGCAACGCTAGAAATCAAAAACAAGACTCACTAGACACCAACACAACAACACACAAAGAAAAACTACAAGGATCCCAACAGGATAATACCCGAGTGTCTGGTCCCAACAGGACAATCAAGTTGACACTCGGGCAAATTTATTATATATTTTCATTTTTTATTTATATTTATTTCTTTAATTTACTTTTTCAACCTAATAATGAGTTACATAGTATCTAATTGAATATTCAAATTTATTATATATTTTCATAATCACCAAGTGCTATAATTTAAATTATTATACATTGCATTTTTATTAATTTATAAAATAGCATATAAGAAATAAAAAATATTTTTAAAAATTGAATAGTTTTTTAATGTACATAGATACTTCTAAGGTAAAATTTATAATTCTGAATTGCACCCGACTATCAAATTTTATTTTTATTAGTATAATATTTAAATTTTCAATATAATTATCACTGCATATGATATATTCAATGAGGATGTACCTTTTATAGTTAAATTGACTATATTTTAGAAACTTTTGTTAATATTTTAAATTAGTTGTTAAGTTATTATGATTTAAACATAGTTATTCTGATTATTTTATTAAATATTTTAAGTACTTCTGAATAGTGAATATAATTAATTAAATTAATACCTACTACCATAGATGATAATACATTTAATCAAATCAATTTCATAATAATATTTTTAATTGTGTCAATAAATTACTATTTAATTAATATAAGATCTTATTGAAAATAATCTAATAAATCTACCGTCAAAATTTCAATCTAAGCCAATTTGTAGTTGATGAGTAGATTGAGTGTATAAAAATTAATTATGTTTTTCATGCTTGAGATTTGCTAATAAATAAATATTAATTAAATGCCAAATATAGATGAAAAAATTTCCCGCCCAAAATCATGCCAATTATGGCAATAAGGATTAGTCCATTTTTTTTCCGGAACGATAGAAATATTATATA